TGTCTTCTTAATTCCTGTTCTTTTATTCTTCTCTCTCCTTAATAATTTTTTTTCTTTTTCTCATATTCTTTTACGCCCGGTAAATTCTTGCATTTTTATTAAATTGTTTCGAGTGAAATGATTAAAAATAAAATTGTGATAGGAAAGTTTCATTAATTTGCCTACCAGATTTGATTTCTTGCTTTTATTTTCTATTCTCTTCAGAAATGTCTAAACTATCATCTATATACAACTATTTTCTCAGACCAAGGACTAAAAAGCGTTTCAAATGAATGAATCCTTTAGTTCTTAAATCAGACAATCCTTCCTTAGACCCTATAGACTGGAGCTACATAATCACAAAGAGCTTTATTAAATAACAAAAACCACATCACTTGAAGACAACCAACAGTAACGACAAAATATTGTTAAGACCTCAGACAACAAAGCATGTTGTTGGGTGCATCAACATGAGCAAAGAAGTTATTTAACACTTGACTTATGAGGAGAGAGAACAGAATTCCTCATATCCTTAAGAAGATTGAATGTTCAAAGAAAAACCTGAAACCACATACCCTTGATTTGGCTGATGTTAATTTGACAGTCCAGAAGTGAATTAACAATTATTTTACATACGGAAAACATTATCTGCTATTCTTATCAGACATTACAATCATGACATTAAAATAATTGCAATTTTTTATCATTTCAAACCAAGCAAGGCAATAAAGTTATGAAGACACAATGGATTACTGAGTGTGAAATAAAGAAACATTATTAATCTTCCTCTAATACAAAAAAACAAAATGATGTTGGAAAAGTTTCATTAATTTGCCTACCAGATTTGATTTCTTGCTTTTATTTTCTATTCTCTTCAGAAATGTCTAAACTATCATCTGCTTACAACCATCTTCTCAAATCAATGACTAAAAATGGCTTCCAATCCTACATGAGAAGTCTGGAAAACTGTTTTAAGAGAAAGATTTTCCAACTTTCAAATGACAGTTATACTAATCAATGAATGTCGATTTTTTCCTGTATGGAAGCGGCTAATGATACCATTACCCTTTTTGAGTATCTTTACACATATTAAACATATCTTTATAGATTTATGGATTCATTTGAGTATTGACAACACTTACTTTTTTGGTCACTCATTTTCATGAATTGCAGGTAATGTTAGCCGTTTCCTTACAAGGAAACATTTGGTATTCATTGACCGAGCAGTCAATACTGCTTTCGATTGAAATTGATAAAATCTTGCCCTTAAAAACTTGTTTGGAAAAACAGGTTTCTCGGGTCCAGTCGCTGTTACCACTCTTTCCGGTATTGATGGGGGTTTTCTTCCTTATATTTGTAGTAGTGTAGAAGGTCAACATCTTGATTATGTCATTATTTTCTCTTTTCAAGCCCAGTAGCTGTTATCACTCTTTCCATTATTGATGGAGGTTTCCTTCCTAACCTTTTATTTGAAGTAGTGTGGAATGTCAACATCTTGATTATGTCATTATTTTCTCTTCTCAAGCCCAGTAGCTGTTATCCTCTTTCCATTATTGATGGAGGTTTTTTCCTTCCTAACCTTTTATTTGAAGTAGTGTGGAATGTCAACATCTTGAATATGTCATTATTTTCTCTTCTCAAGCCCAGTAAGCTGTTATCACTCTTTCCATTATTGATGGGTTTCCTTCCTAACCTTTTTATTTGATAGTGTGGAATATCAACATCTTGATTATGTCATTATTTTTCTCTTCTCAAGCCCAGTAGCTGTTATCACTCTTTCCATTATTGATGGAGGTTTCCTTCCCTAACCTTTTTATTTGAAGTAGTGTGGAATGTCAACATCTTGATTATGTCATTATTTTCTCTTCTCAAGCCCAGTAGCTGTTATCACTCTTTCCATTATTGATGGAGGTTTCCTTCCTAACCTTTTATTTGAAGTAGTGTGGAATGTCAACATCTTGATTATGCCATTATTTTCTTTTTGAGTTACATGTGCTATCCATTTTATTTATTGCTTGTGTTGGTAGTCCGCAAGTGATGTGGTTTCTGTTATTTTGTATAGTTCGTTGTTTATGATTCTGTAGCGCCAGTCATACAATGTTCAAAGAAAAATGATCTTTGCCAAGACACTTTTTTTTATAATGGTGTCCACCTTGTACGAGGCCCGGGAGCCACTCGTGTAGAGGATGACAGAGTAAGAGGCAAAATTTATGTTGATATGTGGTGAAGATAACGAATAATCTTAGACAGGCCAAGATTGTATGGATTGGGAGAACACCCTCTTCGGAGTCAGTTCTACGGAGCAGCGGTTCGCGAAGAAGGTGCTGCTCGAGTGGAACTCACATGTCCCAAATGGAATACGAAGGAAATGGGGGGGGGTCGCTACATTGGACGTAGTATGGTGGGTCTAAGCTATGAAGTTTAGAACTGGTGGAACTAAGGAATGTAGTTCGTCCGAGCACTTTCCATAGAAATAGTGATAGAGCAGCGAGAGATATGCGTCTTTTCGTCTGTGGGAAAGGGGTTGTATGGTGGAAAATGATTTGTCACCCACAAGGATGCGGAGACGCTTTTGGATTTTATCGAAACTGGAAAATGAAGACTGGGTGGCTTCTGCCCATATATGACCCTTCATTCGTTCAAAGCATTTTAAAATTTATTGGAATTTAACGGTCACATGTGGAACGGGTGGAAATGAGGGCCCAATCTGTGCCTTTGTAGAAATGTGGTGCCCTCGGCAGGCCTCTATATAAAGTCCGACGCACAGAATTTGGTCACTTTTTTATTTGCTTTACTTTGCGACTGGCTCTTAGTTTTGACCTGACGACCTGTGTCTTGCACCCTGTCTGACAGACTGCCTTTACCTAGACGGCTAGTGAGAATCAGCTGTCGCTATTGACATGTGCGACGCCCAACCCGGATACGAGCCTGCAACCCAGGGGAAGCTGGGACAGCTACCTAGAAGCACACTACTACCGATACAGACTGACCGTCCTACCAGTTACGAGGACGAATCTTCAAGGAAGCTAAGTCCGCAAATGCACTTTGTTTGCAAACACACATATAACCTTTTTCCTTTCAACTTTTTTCCTTGAACTAAATTAATTGAATTCAAACGGTTGTTGTGTTTCCTTTCTTCAAAATCTGACGTTCAATTTGCCTGAACGCTCGTAGCTTCAGTTCTGAATCCGTCCGACTTGGGGTTTTTTTTATCCTAAATAACTTACGGGGACAAAAAATCTCCACACAATATCCAAATAACTTTGATTACGACGTGTATATTTCTGTTGTAGTAGAAATTCTAGGTGTGTAAAATTTTGAATACTAATCACAAAAAAAAAAAAAAAATGTTCTTGCTCTGTAGAAAGCTACGACTATTGGAATTATAACCCGGTCGCCAGCCGCAGAGAAAGGTAAACGAAGCATTTGCCCACCCCACCAGGATCAGGCCTTCTCATATATTTGGTATATGCTTTTCAATTTCTCTACTCTCAAAAGATTCCCCACTTTCGAAAAAATGTGACTGCAGACGCCCATGAATATAAGTGCGTTATTTTTAGAATTTCACAAAATTTCTTTACGAATGTAGTTAAAAACTAAAGTGTGTAAAAATATCATGGTTACTTTTTAAAGCCAGCAGCAGCAGTAGCACTAACAGCAGCAGCAGCTTTCTGCTCTACAATTAAAGTATTATCCATACGCGTTGCGAAAAGTGTTATGCATGCGCACTCACACACACACACAATACTTGGTGGTGTCGAAAAATTCTCAACCCGATCCACCTTCTAAAATCTGAATAAATGACTAAGGACGTAGGCGATTATGGCTCTCCACAATTTCCCCTCCTTCGTAGCGCTTAATAATTTTTCTTTTTGTTATTTCTCCTAAACCCTGTTCCAACATCCATTTATTCAAGATCCCTAAGTATGTTATGCTTTGTTTTCTGTTGCCCCTCTTGCCTTCAATCTGACTTGTGAGTATCAAATTCCTCATGCCCTCTTTCCTCATCATGTATCGTAGAAATTTCAGCTGTCTCTTCCTGATGTTAAGTATAAATTTTTCTTTTTTTCCTTTTTACCTAAAATCTCGTCGATGCTCACATATTCGGTCCTATAGTATCCCCAATATCCTCCTGTAGAACCACATTTCTGTTGCTTCGATTCTCTTTTTCATCTTTGAGAAAATTATGCAACATTCATTGCTTTATAGGAGGGTAGATACCATGTAACAGTTCAGCACTTTTTTCTTGGTTTCTAACGAAGTTTTTCTATTTCTTAGTACTCTGCTTAGCTTTTGGAAGGCATCTTTGTCCTTCACAATGCATCTTCAGATTTCAGCCTCACATTTTCCATCCTCTGTTAAAGCACTTCCCAAATATTTAAATTTTTTTACTTGTTTAAATTTGTTGACCAAATGACTATGTTTATTATACACCCCAGTTTGGCCGAGACTGTCCGGTTTGTGGGTTCCTCTCCCGGTTAAATGAACAGGACTTATCCGAACACCAACTTGAAAGGATTATAGCACAAGTCGGTGTCCCATATGTAGATGGGACCAGGGAGCAAAAATAGACCAACACCCACGGTCTTTCTCAGGCGTCAGGGATTAATCTTAGCTTTTCTTCGTAAGAATTAATGGTCACTTAGGGCTTTATTTCATTAACTAACGTTTCAAAAACGAAACGTAACATTAACTTCAATATTCGTTTTATTTTCAGACCCTGAATCTTAGGGGATGTTGGTGACTTGATTGATTGGTTCTTTTTTACGGCTTATCAACCCTTTGTAGGTTATTTAAAGCCAGAAAATATTTTTAGATTGTAAGAATCTTTTATGGAGATAATAATGATTTAGTGATGCAAATCTTAGTAATTAACCCATATCTGGGGGAGAAAAGGTGGATTAATACCTTTCCCCAGGGTATTTGTGCGTAAGTAAATATGACGAACCCAACTGGAATTAAAACTCTGCTCTCCGATTAACAATTTCGAGCCATTACACCAACTGCACATCAAAGTTTAAAGCACCTTGTATTCCCAAGTGGTTGCCCATCTAGGTACTGATAAGGGACAACGCTGCTTAACTTAAGCGATCGTACGGGAACCCGTGTTTCACTTAGGGGATGTTGGGTAAGGAAAACACTTGTAATAAGATAAAAAAATGTAATTAGAATAGAAAAACTCTCCTGGGTTAAGGCCTGGAAATTATGTTAATTAATTACGTTAATTATTATGTTAATTATGCTAATTAATTACGTTAATTATTATGTTAAGCTTACAAATAGCAAACTTTTATTTGTTTTAATCCGGACTTGATCAACGTGAAAACTTTTCTATACTCAGTATACAGCATATATATATATATATATATATTAGTGGATAGTCGTATTTGAGTAGACGTTCCGTTTATTTATTAAACAGTATATTTATGTAATTTTGTCGACCGTTACAGGCCTGAATATTCGAGGAGTCTTATTAGAGAAAAAATATCCTGCAGAATTCGAACCTGCGTTCCCCTAGGGGAAATCTTCATTACATCTGACGTGCTTCGACCTGTCGGATATAGTGTGCGTCGATTACCAAGCAAGTTTAATATATATATTAAGTCATATATATATATATATATGTGTGTGTGTGTGTGTGTGTGTGTGTGGTACGAATTTCAGTTACGTGGAAAACGAAATCACCTGTTTAAATGACATCTATTGAAAAACGCTATGAACTTTTATTCTAATCCAATATATATATATATATATATATATATATATATATATATATAGGAAAAGTTGTGTTAGCACTAAGTTACTAGTCACCGTGACCGAGGGTTTCAGCGTATTGGCATTGTTCAAGCTGCTGATCAGGACAGATTATATGCTTTCCCCAGAAACAGTAACTAAGGTCCGCTCAGCATAGTTGCCGTATAAGCCACTGGTGTGTTCTGTGGATTCTGAAGAAACACAAATATGCCTGAACAGGTGTCTACAACAGGGATTGGCTATCCGTCCTAGCAGATGGACGTGATGTGAAAACGAGAATAAACGAGCATTATATTTTTCAAGTAGCTGTTTTTGGGTAGTGAGCTTTTACTTAAACAGGTTTGGCCGAAGACCAGTGAAAGTTCTTGATTCAATGTATTAATGTCACACCCACCGTCCCATTTGTAAGTTGCAGGAAGAAACCTATAATTTATGCGGGTTTTTTATAAATTTATAATTAATATTGGATCTTATAAGCTTATTAAGAATACGGGATTAAAAAAAGAAAAAACTATAATTAACATTATAGTTAATATTATTAGGATTTTTATTTTTATAATTAACACAATATTTTAAGATGGACATTAATGGATTAAGATTTATTTATTTTCCTACAGTTCTGACCATATATCTGGTTTCCGGGGAGAGCTTTAACATAGATTATTCAATTTCTTCTAAGTCTGTGATACTCAAAGTGTGGTACGTGTACCGGTGCCGGTACCCGAGTCATCGTCTGCCGGTACGCGCACAATTTCAAGAAAACAAAGAAACAGTAGTCTCATTCCACGCCACGGAAGACTGCCGGGATATACGACTCGGTTTCTTTTTTTAACATTTTCATTTTAGTTTTATATTTAACATAGTTACATTTTTCAATTACTCACTCATGTTAAAAGTCATTGCTATACAACTTACGAATGCGATATAATGAACAGTGAAGTAAAATACGTATGACAACACTACCAGGCTGATGTAGCATGTGACTTTGTGGGAACTACAGCTAGAGATACCAAAAGGCCATTTTCATGCACATCTATTTCTACAACATCAATATAAAATAAAATAAAATGATGCAGCTTTTATTCTATTCATTATATTTTTCTGGTACAGATGAATATTCAAAAATGTTTTCTCGGATCGTTATTATATAATTCTGTGACATAAATATTGGAAGTTGGAAGTTGGAGAGGGGAATTAACAGGAGATAATTGATAACTGACATCTATTAAACATGGCACGTGGAACTAGAACATTCTACCGCAGTGAGCAAAATAAAGGGTTCAGGTCGACATTCCAACCACCTGAAGAAGGCCGGAGCGTACAACGGCCGAAACGTTGTAATAAATATGGCGACAAAGATGAGGACAATAGTCCGAATAATGTAAATAGTGTACATAATACCTCATCTCAGAAATATAGACAGATACTGAAAGGCCGAAACGTTGTCATAAATATGGCGACAAAGATGAGGACAATAGTCCGAATAATGTAAATAGTGTACATAATATCTCATCTCAGAAATATAGACAGATACTGAAAGGCCGAAACGTTGTCATAAATATGGCGACAAAGATGAGGACAATAGTCCGAATAATGTAAATAGTGTACATAATACCTCATCTCAGAAATATAAACAGATATTGAGAAGACTTGTTACGTCAATGACGCCTGACTTTAGAATGGATAAGACATCATGCCCTCATTTTTAGTACAGAAAGTGACAAAATGACCCTAAAATAGGACATATCTTAAAAAAACAAAAAAAAAAACAACTCCCAACTCCCAACTCCCAACTCCCGGGTTGGATTGGAAAGCTTCGAGTACCGGTCCCTCACACATTACAAACTGTCTGTGTCTGTGTGGGAACCACACCGATAAAGGCCAAAAGGCCATTTCATGGACATATATTTCTAATTTGTCCATTTAAAAATTCGGCTGTGGAAAGAAGGAATAGTTAATTTGATTTCAGCGAAAATTTTTAAAATTAGCATTTAATTCCTGAGATTCATAACCTATCTGGTATAGCGTTTTCCCAAGCGTAGCTTAGATGTGGCACAAGGCCGAAAGTAGGGGGCACCCAGTGAGGATCGAACTCACTACTCAGTCGTAATTTTTCTAGCGGGAGATGCTTGATAATCATTACACCACCTCGAAGTGTCCTAATGATTTTCCAAGCGTAGCTTAGGTGTGGCACAAGGCCTAAAGTATGGGACACCCAGTGAGGATCGAACTCACTACTCAGTCGTAATTTTTCTAGTGGAACAAGCTTGCTACTATTACACCACCCCGAAGTGTCCTAAGGATTTTCCAAGCGCAGCTTAGATGTGGCACAAGGCCGAAAGTATGGGACACCCAGTGAGGATCAGTCATAATTTTTCTAGCGAGATATGCTTGATAACCATTACACCACCTTGAAGTGTCCTTAGGATTTTCCAAGCGTAGCTTAGATGTGGCACAAGGCCGAAAGTATGGGACACCCAATGAGGATCGAACTCACTACTCCCTCGAGGTGCCCAAATCTATTTGATATAATTGAATAATACTTCGAATGTTCAAGTAATATTTTCTCAGGTTGTTAATATATATATATATATATATATATATATATATATATATATATATATTGAACAATAAGAAAATAAAAAAATTAAAAATACGTTTTCACAACACCGCCCACGTGACGACGACGTGATCATATTTAAACGGAACGCTGATCTTATATAAAAAATTTCAGTTATCTGTTTGGATTAGTTGTGCTCTTATGTCCATCGTCTTTTCGTGTTGAATTTTTATATGTTCTAATGTTAATTATGTTTAAATGAAAATGTCCTGAAGATGGTCTTAAATAGACCGAAACGTCCGACGTTGACTTTATATTAATATTAATACAGCATAATTGCATATTAAGATTTTTGTTTGTTTTTTCTGTATATTTTTCTTCATACTGTCGGATCTATATCCATATATTTGCTTATATATATATATATATATATATATATATCGTTATATGACTCTAATATTTTACCGGTCCCTGGAACACTGGGAAAAATTGTTAGATTGGGCTTAGATTGAATAAGACATTATGCCTTCACGTTTAGTACGGTCAGTCTCAGAATGACCCTGAAATAGGACATATTCAAAAAAAAATTAAAAAAATAAAAATTCGGGTGGGTTACAGCGCCAGCCGCCCCCCCCCCATCGCACATTGAACAAAAAAATGCCAGTACGCCACATTAGATAGTTTGAGAAACACTGGTTTCGATTTTCACAAGCCATTATCAAAAAAATCTCGTTTCGTATTGAGAGATTTGTGACTATCTTTTATGACTATTTGGTCATTTTCAAATGTCGTATCTTCACGCATTCATGGCTGTCATGCCCCTTTTTATTTTTTTCATATGTCGCGTTTTAACGCGACAGTTTTTGGTGTAGGTCCGTGTTTTATCAGTTGGGGTATATATTTACTGTTTCTGTCCCAAAATTCAATGAAATTTAATTGATGTTTGAAAGGCTTCCTCTGTTGCATTGCGGAACAGGCTACCAAGAGGATGCTTTCTAGATCACAACAATATTAACCCATTCAAGTCTCGGGTTAACCGTTATCTATCCTACATATCCTCCTCATATGTACTTCTTTCCCCCTCCCTAACATCCTTACAGAAGCCTCATTTAGTAACTTTTTACTCTGAGTTGTTCTTGGGCCTTGTATTGGGTAAACGTTAGTAAAAAAAGCGTTACACACTAAATAGTACATTTATAATTTGTATAAATAAACATTATTAAATAATGTCTCTCTTCAGCCGCTGGTCACACTGTAATACTACGGAGACCCACGTAGAAATGGAAGAAGTGGATTTATCTCTGCATATAAATTTTGATATCCAGTCGATGGTTCGTTTTGAAGTTCGGTTTTCCAAGCGACATCCACTTTGACCAAAGAGTAACATATAAGGGATGAATGAGGGATTTTTGGAGATCAAGTGGCAACAAAGCCGGAAATAAGGTATATCCGGGTGCTGATCTATATTAAAAGTAATGCTTGGAATCGGGAAGATTTCTGGCCTGTCCTAGGCGAGAGAGTGACGTGGCCGTCGCGTGATTCCTGTGCCGTTCATTTCTATTACCAGGCACTCGTTGAGGTGTTTAGATGGTCGAGGAGTTGATATAGGGAAGAGCTGAGAATGTTAGACCAATATAGCAGAAATTGTCTCCAGTATCACCTACCAACCCACCTGGGTGAGTAGGTGATCTACTTTATATTACGGGAAACAGGGTTCGCGTTCTTATTTCCCGACGCGATTTACGTCTTTCATCTTGCTAACTTGTGAGCAGCAGCGGCTCTTTTCTCGGCTTTTGGCGCACATCGGCGGGATCGAGAATCGAAATGCAACGTGAGGCTAATCATTGACCGGTCGGGGGAAAGCTTGAATGCTTACAATCCCACTACCAATTAAAGATTTCGAATACTGAGCCACGTCTTTCTTGGAATATTGATTGAACGCTATCTTTGTTCTCAGACGTCTTCGCTATTTCTTTCTGAACCGAAATCATTATCATCATGTTGAGAATTCTTCTCGGATTCTTCTGACTCGTTCCTTCCAACCATCTCTGTCAGACATCGCTATCGGCAGGTCCTCCAGATGACATCCAGAGTCATCTACACGCTGGTCAATGTAGATGTGATGAGGTCTTCCTACCGATCTTTTGTCACGCAATGGGTTCCATAGGAGGGTGTCTCTCACAAATTCTGACTTACTTCTCAAAGAGTGAGCAGCTAACCGAAGCCTTCTCTCTCTTAGCGAAACTGAGATAGGAGGAAGGTTTCCATAGAGATGTTTCTTTGTTGTTGTTTTTTTCAAACTGATGACCACTGCAACTCGTAAACCGAAATAAAACAGACTTAATATATAGCAAAACAAATGTTATTAAGGAGTCAATGTCGTAGAGTAAACTGTAAGCTTTGATCTGTAACCTTTGAGGGAAACATAAAGTTAAAATTTGCTTAGGTTTTACCTTTTATAGTTTAAGGAGTTCAAGAAAATGATGCAATAATGATTGATCGATTAAAACAACTTGAGTCGGAATCATAGAGTCGTTGTAAAGTTCACCGTCAGGGCTATATAAGGTCTTGACTTCAGAGTTTTCCTTCTCCTAAACTGTTTGACATTCAATGCTGAAGATCCGGGACTGCTTTACTATTTGACCTATAGATGTGTAGGCGATAGAATATAACTTTCTCAATGATATTAACGCGAAAGTGAATGCAAGGGAAGTCGACTGGAATTCGAACTCGGCTCTATTGATTTCTCAACCCGGGTGGCCATCCATTTCACCACCCGCATATCCAACTGAATTCAATGGGACATTAACAAAACACGTTTGATATATACGTTAGAGGGAAACAAATATTCGTAGACATACCAATTTTAAATTTATTGTATTTTCAACTAATGAATAAATATACTTTTCATATAATTAACTGTACACAGATGCATAATAACTAAATATGCATAGAAAATAGAAAAAAATTATATTTAGTTATTATGCATCTGTTTGCAGTTAATTATATGAAAAGTATGTTTATTCATTAGTTGAAAATACAATAAATTAAAAAAATTGTATGTGTACGAATATTTGTTTCCCCCTAATATATATATATATATATATATATATATATATATATTTAAATTGTGTGTATTTAGGCAGCATCTTTTCATTCATACACGTTTCATTAAATAATATAGACAAGTGTTGTCTATTTTATGTAAATTCTTTTCATAACGTCTGATAAGTTTAATAACATTATCATCGAACGAAGAAAGAAATTCACAATATTGATCCATATTTTTTAATACAATCTAAGCTTGACAAGACAGTGATGATAGTCTGTCATTGTTTACATAGATGATTTCTAACCAACGATAAACACGTGCATCTATACACACACACACACACACACACACACACACACACACACACACACACACACATATATATATATATATATATATATATATATATATATATATATAAAGAAAAGAACAGTAAGATATATAATCCGGTGTTCATATTGATATTTTTTATTCTTATTTTTACAAAACAGTGCTCAATGTAAATTTACAGAGCATATATATATATATATATATATATATATATATATATATATATATATATATATATATATATATATATTTTATGTTTATATATATATATATATATATATATATATATATATAGTTTTAAGTTAGGCTATATTTATGGATTAAAATGCTCAATATTGGGGATAGATCTTATATAAATAATTTCATTCTAAACACACACGTCGGACGAAACCAAAGTTGAATTGTTTGGACGTTATTTAATTATTATGTATCTATATACATTTAATTATTTGAAAACAGTGAAGAAACATTTTAAAATAAATGTTGGTCTGGTTAAAAGAATCTCGGACTAGAGAACTTGTAACTGTAGAAGTGATTGATAGAGGCAGAAAAATTGTAACTAGGAAAATAATTTGATCCAATGTTCATTGGGTGAAAAGAAGGTGGGACTACGGGACTTTTAAGAGTAGAAACGATGAAAGAAAACAAAGAAATTCTAAATGTAAATAAAACATTTCGGTCAAATGTTGATCGGATTAAACGATAGTGGACAACAATGTTTTTATTTGTCGAAACGAGTTTTAGAAACAAATAAATCGCAATTATAGAAAAAAGACATCATTTCGAGCAAATATTCCGATTAAAAGAATATCAAACTAGAGTATATACAGCTGTAATAGACGCTTTCATAAATTGCAAACTTGCGCCAAAAAGGAAAAAAATAATAATTACCCATAATTCAATGGTTTGGCCAAAAAGTTCGTTCGAGTTATTAAGTAGAAAATTTACTTAAAGCGAATGAACTTTTTGGTCACCAATTATTTATTTTTTTCACTTAATATCTTAGATAAACTTGGGCACCTCGAGGCGGTGTAGTGCTTAGCAAGCTTGTCTCGCTAGAACATTTATGACTGAATAGTAAATTCGATTCTCACTGGCTGCCCTATACTTTCGGTCTTGTTCCTAAGCTTGGAAAATCACTATCTTAGATCAACTATATCCGGCAGTAAGGCCTCTGATCAGGAGACTGAAGGTTTAGAGACGCATAGAACCACCTCTTAATTGCTTTTGTTACCGGTTCCACTCAAAACCGGGGTGGTAGCACCTGTTAGGGTCCAAGTTAATAGCAAATAGTAAACCTCCAAACAAAAACAAAAAGCACTATGAAAGTGTAGAAATATATTTTTTTAAAACAAAAGTATCAGCAATACATTTTATTTGTAGTTGAAGCCATAAAATTGTGTACAAAATATTTAGATTTCGGCATTAAATAACCCATAGCGGTTGATATATCGCTAAAAAAATCAACCAACCACTTAATATGTTATTTGATGTATTAATTTCTTTTATTTTTCTTGTAAAATATACGCCTAGATACATCGGACACCAGAACTTAGAAATTTAAAGTTTAGCAACTCAGTATCTTCAACGTTCCTTCCTATCGTTTTTCTTTATAGTGTTGTCCCTTTCTTCTTAAAAAGAGTCGACCGTGGTCGGGATCATTGAAAATGGCCCTTTCCTTAGCTGCATAGTATATGTTTCGACAGGGCTACATACAGTTTTGAATTCAGAGTTTTTCTTCTCCTAGACTGGTTGCAACCTGAACCGGAACCCAGTCTCTCCTATTTATTCATAGCTGGGAGGAGAGGTGTTGGATTCATACCTTTCCCAAGGGTATTAGTACGTAAGTGAATGTAATGAACTTGACTGGAATTCAAACTCGGCTCTCTGATTCCCCAAACTCAGCTTCCAATTCATTATTCTACTGTGCCTCTTTCCCTCTTATATATATATATGTAATTCCATCAATAAAAACATTATTTTAATCTGATTTGAGTTGTTTTAAAGTGCGAAACGCATTACATAGTATTTTTTCTCATTTTGTCATTCAATTACCCTCCAGTTAATTAAACTGAGCATGATAGGAGCATAAGTTCCCTCCATGGTTTTAGTACAAGTTCCCTCCGTGGCTTTAGTACAAGTTCTCTCCGTGGCTTTAGTACAAGTTCTGTCTAAGGCTTTACTTATCATATTGCAAAGAAATTGCGTGTGCAAGAACAAAACGGATTTTTATTATTCGCAATTCCGTAGCTCGCCGTTGAGGTTTACCCTGATAGGTATAAATATTTTATGGAATATGATCCCTCGCAAAGCATCACGGGTAACGAAGAAGAAGAGAAAAATAGCTAAAAGAAGCCTTACATGTCAAGGGGAGTTGTTTCGTGTTTGCTATATGATTCGCATCTTTTCAGGCATTTTTTTTTTTACTGATATGGCATAAACATGTCCTACATATCAAAGAGAGTCCGTATTCTTTACAGTGCCAATTCTACGATTTGGCAATGAACGTACAAAACCCGGTTTTATCCTTACTGTTACAGCGAACGTACCTCTGTCGTTCAAAGAGTCATTTTAGAGTTCACATAAAATGCAAGAGCCAATACTGGAGCTTTTGGCACACACGCAATCCTCTGAAGAGATTTT